TTTTTTTTATTTATATAAGATTCTCCCCCCGACCACCCTAAAAGAGCACAGAATAAGAGATGGTTTGGGGCCAAAATATTTTATGTGGGGTTCACCCGGTGGGGACAAATGTGTGTCGCGCGCCTCAGTCTCAGAGGAAAACAAAAAAATTATATTTTTTTGGGGTGCGGGGTTTTTCTCTCCCCCTTTTACGATGGAGAAAAAGAATACAAGGAATCGAAACAGGTGTGAGTGTGATGAGTTATCAAGGCAAAACAACAGGTGGAAGCATGGCCGTTAGTATTTAGCAGCCCGTACGCTTGAAATTGTGAATATGAAAGAGGAAAAAGGGTTGCAGGACGAGAAGGGGGGAAAGAACAGGAAAAGCCATCCCAAGCACATTGGAAATATGGCGCTATGGACATGAAAAAATAGAAAAGAAAGAAAGCAAAGTTTTCACATCACAGGCAATGGTTCTGGTATGCGCGTGGAAACGGGGAGCCGTCCCAGGCAAGCCTGGCCAATAACATGAAACCAGTAAACAAATCCCTGGCCCTCGCAGTATTCCTACTCCCAGCATCCTAATTTTTCCTGTCTAAAAAAAAAAAAGGAAAAAAAACTCCCTTCCATGGCATCCATCCATATGCCCTCTAGACGCCGTGCAAACGGAAAGCGAAAGGGGAATAAGAAAAGGAGGTAACGTAAAGGAAAAGAGCCGGACACAAAACTGACATCTTGCAACTAATATGCTCCAAGCCAACCAGTCATATAATCATGTCGATACATCTCGCCAGGGGCCATGAAACCAAAAAAAGATGAGTGAAGAAGATATAAAAAACAAGCAATGCGCAAAGGAAACAAGAAAGGACGAAGGGGAAATAAAAAGAAAGAAAAAGAAACCGAAGCCTTGTAAGTTTAACGCTCCTGGGAATGGCGCGACGATACGAGTAACAACTGGACCAGTTCATAAAAATTATGGAAGGTGTAAAAGAGAACCCATAACCATAGCGAAAGCGAGGTTGTCTCAACATTAGTGGTTATCAACGCCGAGTATAACAAGGAGCCGAACAAAGCGGAGTCGAGAAAACGATGCGGCACGAGGAAAATATGAGTTTGGTGAATTATCGAAGAAACACTCTAGTGAGATACTCCAGCTAAGCCCCATCACTAAGCTAGCCTCGACTATGGTTGGAATCGAGCTTCAGGATGCGGCGTAAGTCAGCCTCCATCTGTTTCGCGTCAAGGGGTTTAGAAGGCGTATAGCCAGAACGAGGAGAAGGAACAGCTGGATTCAAGTGGGGATTTACTCCGTTTGAAGTGGGCGACGTGAGGTTGACATATGTTTGAGAACGCTTGGGATTCTCTTGGCTACCATTAGTCGACAGAAGTGGGCTGTCGATAGAACTTGTAGAAGAAAGCTCCCGACGAAGATTAGACGAGGGAGTTCGAGGCGATTGAGTGCCATTACAAACGGACGATAGGTATTGATGTGCAATACTACCATTATC